GGAATAAGACACCGAGTCTGTTCTGGGAGCCTGCAATCCACCTCCTCCCTTTCCACCACGGCCTTTTCCGGGCCCTTACTGCCTTTACCTGGACCACTGGCAAAGTCCCGAACTTGCTCCCCAGCTCTCCTCTCTCCCCTCTCCATCCATCCCATAGTCACTGCCAGACACCAGCCTGCCAGTATTGTCAAGGCTACTTGAAACCCTTCCCTCCATGAAACCGTCCATGAAAGAAAGGCACCTTACACATTGTCTGTTCCGTCGCCTTAGACACTCTCTGCTCCTGAAAGTGGAGCAGTTCCCAGACGAGCCCCACGATTGCCCTGTCTGTGCTTTCACTCCTGCCACCTGCTCCTCTGGAGGCGCATCCGCCATCTCAGCCTATGGAAAATCTCCACATCCTTCAGGCCCTGTCTGAGCTACTGTTCCAGCACCTGCCTTGGCCTCTCTTCTGTTTACACTGCTCCTAAGACACTGAAAGGCTCTTTTGTGATGTGATCGCTTCTCAACATGTCTTATCTCCTACCTGGGCAATGAAAGATGTCACATCTTAGCCCTCGGGCACTCTCACAGCTCCCCCAGCACATGGCTCCCGCAACAGGCACTCAGTTCGTGTTCGCTGAAAGGGAGGAGGGACCCAGAGAGGCAGGCCCAAGGGCCTCCTCTCCTGTCCCTTCTCATTCTGGTTCTCCAATCGACTGCAGAACCAGCTGTCCTTCCACACTGACCTTCTCTGCTCCCCCAGCACCCCTGGAGGGGAGGATGGGAATAGTTGTCCAGTAGTGGCTTAAAAGAAAGAGTTGGGGTCTCCCCCAAGACTTTCATTGGTCACCTGTCAGTTCGGTGAGACACACAGGAGGTTGTAGCTGGGTGTTGCCCACTTTGGACACCCTCCTCCAGGAGACCTGGGCACAGTGAGATGGAGGAGCTTTGCAGACCATGAGCTGGGGACATGTGCAAGGCTGTGGTAGCCTCTCCAGCACGGGACCCAGAGAGCCCAAGGTGGGCAGCTGGATGGTTTTCAGAGGCCCCAACCCCTGACCCTCTCCTCCTCCGCAGGAGAGCCCTTACCTCCACACCCTGAGGAATAGTCAGCTACTCAAAAACCAGGCTGAAGAAGGCCCCAACGTGCTCCCCTGGGCCGTGCCAGTGGCGGCAGGAGGTGGCCTTGCAGTTGGCGTCGGCGTGGTGATGGCATGGAGAGCCAGGAGAAGCCACCAGAAGGAAAATCCTCCAATAAGCCTGGACACTGTGAGATTGTAGGCCCACCGGCCACGTGGATGCTCATCCTAGAAGTCCCAGCCACACACTCCTCCCCAGCCCTCTACCTCAGCCGCCACAGAGCGCACTTGCTTCCACACCTGGTGACGTAGGAAGCCAAAAGGACCTTCCTGACTTACTGAGCCCCGGGGCCAATGCTCCTGGAATTGGCAGATTTAAATGAAGGCCAAAGCCATTCTGTTCTTGGGTTAACCTGCTTGAAGCTCTTGCCTTCCATCTGTCATGTGATGCAGGTGTGGGAGCTAGAGCCTTTCCTGTCATCTCAGCCAGAGCTGCCCAAGTGATGGCCAACCCCAACCAGACCGACCCCTATTGGGCTCCAGCCAGCACTGGGGGAGCAGCTCCTCAGTCCCCAAACCCACTACTTAGAGTGTGGGGAGGACGTTGGTCACCAGGTGCTGGCTAGAATTCGGGAGCTGCCTGGCCACCATCCATTACAGTCCAACGCATACCTGCCGCGCACCTGTTTTGTACCCAGGACAACATAGAGCCCTGTGGTACCTCCAAGGCTGTGAGGTTCCTGGCCAAGGAGACAAACTCCTTCAAGAGACAAGAAGCTCTGTGACAGTGCAATTCAGCGCTGCGGCGTTGACGGGTAAACGCATCCGATTGCTCTCAAGACTAGGAGAGTTCCTTGGGAAAAGTTTCCTGAAAAAGGGCAATTTTGAAAATGCCATTTAAAAAAATTAAAGGATTGGGACATGAATACCTTACATATCCTCAACCTGGTTTACTCAAGGGACTAAATTTCGGAATGATGTCCTCTTTCTACATTACCAGGTTGCTGAGAGAGAGCTGGAGAGTCTGACAACACAGGCCCTTACTAGGGCAAGCCCTGAGCTGGATGTCTTTCTCAGATTATTCCTTTGATTTTGCACAAAAAGCCAGGGAGGGAATGATGAAAAGTTTTGAAACTAGGAGTGGTGGTTGCGCAGCATGGTGAATGCACTAAATGCTACTGACTTATTCCCTTTAAAATGGTTAATTGTAAATCCTGTGAATTTCACCTCAATAAAAAGCAAACAAAATGAATCCGTTATCATCTGCATTCTAAGTATATCTCCATATATCTCCGATCACATAGCATGGGATGACAGAGAATGTGAGTTAGAACCTCAGTTATACCACTTGAATGTGTGGCCTATAGAGCACACCCCATCAGCAGCCTGAGCCCCAGTCTCTCAGATTCGTCTATAAAAGTGGACTCAGAGAACCCATTTTGCCTGCCTCACAGCACTGCTAGGAAACAAGAAACGCATGTAAAAATGCTCTAAAATACTGCACACCTGGAAATTAGTTCTTTTCTCCTCTGTGGGGAGTTGAGATAGTGTTCAGACTGCAGGGGAAGTGGAGAGGTCCGGAGACAGGTGTGGAAAGGAAGCAAAAAGGGATGGAGAAAGAAGGCCTGCCTTCCCCTCGTGAGGGGTATTAATCTT